TCCCCCAATTCTTGGCCCTCCCCCAGCTTACTTTAGTAGTCGCTTGTCTTCTAATTTCAAATCACACACAATCGCAGGGCCTCGCTCCAATCCAGTCGACAAGTCCATGTTCAACCAAGCGGACAACGTCAGTTCATCCGTTTCCCTTTGGAGTCCTCGTGTCTCGCTAAGATTGGCATGCCTCAACGTGCGCACCTTGCTGCAGATTGGCCAACAGGCAGCACTTGCCCGCACACTAGAGACCCTGTCGATCGATATTTGCTGTTTATCAGAAACCCGCTTGAAAGATTCGAGTTCCGTGCTTACCCTGCGATCCCCTACATGCGACACCGGCGGCACATTCTCATTGCGCCTGTCTGGCGATGATGCAGCTTCAAATGCCGGTCAAGCTGGCGTCGGCATTGTTTTGAGTCCCCGGGCTGAAGCTGCCCTGATTGATTGGATCCCAGTAAACAGTAGGATGTGCGCCGTTAGATTAGCTGGTTCGTTCCGTGCTACGAAATCGCGCGGGGACAAACGGTGCCTGTTTGTCATTGCGGCTTACCCCCCTACAAACTGTAGCACTGACTCGGTAAAAGATGATTTCTATCAGCAACTTCACGAGCTCCTTCGTTACAGAAGAAACACGGATACTGTGGTGTTGGCTGGTGATCTAAACGCCCAAATCGGGGAATTGTCCTCTGGTGAGCTTTATCTGGGCGGCCAGCATGATGCAGACTATCGTAGTGATAAGAGTGAGCGGTTGCTACATCTGTGTGAAGGCGCTCGCCTTTTTCTCACAAGCACCTAACTTTTGACATAACACCCGCAGAAAACAGACTTGGCGCCCACCAGCCTCAGGCCAGCATGGACGCAAATCGATCACATCGGGATCGGTTACGGCTGGAGACGCTGTGTCCAAAACTGCCGCTCAATTTGGAGCACGAGCGTGGACTCCGATCACGGTCTCGTGTGTGTCTACCTGCGGGCGCCCTTCGGTGGGCGTCCACAACGTAAATGTGAACGGATTGACACCAGCCAGCTGGCTTCGCCAGATGTTCTGAATGTGTACCAAAGTGCGCTGACATCTGGGTTGAGCAGGCGCCCACTAAAACCGGTGAAGATCACTGGTCGCATATTCGTCAAGCGTTGCTGTTAGCAGGCATGTCCTTATGTGGACAAATCATATTGCCAACCTAGGCACTGGGTCTCTACACAGTCTCTACAACTTATGGATGCTGGTCAACGTATTCCGGCTGGAAGCGAATAAAATGAGACTCGCAAAAATCTCAGGACAAAACTGCGTGCTAGGCTGAGGAGAGTCAGCAAAACCTGGTGGTCTCATTTTGCCTCTGAGATAAAAACATCCGCTGCCGTTTGTAACATTTTAAGTTTTACCATCCGATACGAGAAACAGGCAGCAGGAGACCTGGTGTTAGCGAGGCCATACGCGACGAGAGCACTCAGCCGATCCACAACCTGTTAAAACGCTAAGCGCGTTGGGCCGAACATTTAACAACGCAATTTAACCAACCTGAGTTATCGCTTTCTTTCTCCGGCATTGAGTGCCCTTCTCCATGTGACGTCTCTTTGGATCCGTCATCACGTGCAGAAGTCGAACGTGAGATCCGGCTGTTGAAATTGCATAAGGCCGCAGGGGCAGATAGAATTCCCCCAGCCCTTTTCAAATTCGGGGGACCTGCTCTAATAGATGATATACACGAGTTGCTAGTAAAACTTTAGGAGCAGGAGACAGTCCCGACAGACTGGAACCGCTCCGTCATTGTCCCAATTTTCAAGGGAGGCTCTCGTTTGGAATGCGGCAATCATAGAGGGATCAGTCTGATTTCGATTACCTCTAAATTGCTTGCCTCTATCATTCTCCACAGACTGACTGGCACTCGTGAAAGCCAGGTTCGTGAAGAGCAAGCCGGATTTCGTCGAGGTCGCGGCTGCATCGACCACATCTTCACCTTGCGTCAAGTGTTGGAGCACCGCCATGTTTATTGGGGACCCACCGTTGTCGTGTTTCTTGACATCAAACGTGCCTTCGACTCAGTCGATCGATGTGCCCTTTGGGACTGTCTGTTGAGGAAAGGTGTGCCTGATAAATGTGTAAATATTATCAAAGCGCTGTACGCGCATAGTTCGGGCAGGGTGAGGGTTTATGGCAAACTCTCGCCACCCTTCAGTATCACCAGCGGTGTGAGACAAGGATGCCCGCTGTCGCCTTTCCTCTTCAACTTCGCTATTGATGAAGTCATGGAAACAGCGTTCGCTGGACACGACCTAGAAGGTGTGGAGCTACTTCCTGGTGAGCGACTTCTTGACTTGAAGTATGCAGACGATATTGCCCTAATCTGTGACAGCTCCCAAACATGCCAAATAGCACTGGACCGATTAGCATTGGCTGTCAGTCATTTTGGGCTATGCTTTGCTCCATCGAAATGCAAAGTACTTCTCCAAGATTGGCAGGGACCCAACCCTGCGCTAACACTTGGTGGTGATCTGCTAGAAGTCGTTCAGGAATTCAAGTACCTGGGCAGCTATATTAGCACCCGTGGGATTGAAGATGAGGTTACGAACCGTATAGCAGAAGCTCGAGGCGCTTTTGCCAATCTCCGCCACCTGTGGCGCAGACGCGACATTACTCTCGCCCTGAAGGGCAGAGTTTACAACGCAGTCGTCCGTTCAACTCTCTTATATGGTTGTGAAACCTGGCCCATAAGGTCGACAGACATGAAGAGGCTCGTCACATTCGATCATCGCTGCCTGCGCAGCTTAGCTCATGTCTGGTGGGAACACCGCTCGAGCAATGAGCGTGTTCGACGTCGCGTATTTGGTGCAGGAAGAGGGAGTGAACTGCTCAGCAAAATCATATCACGCACCAGGCTCCGATGGCTGGGCCACGTGTTGCGCATGCCAGCACACCGACTCCCGCGACGTGCATTGTTTGCGCGTTGTGGGTGCGGTTGGAAGAGGAGGAGAGGAGGCCAAGTGATGACTTGGTCGAGAGGAATGAAAACCCTCACTTCGAAGTTGGCGTCGGTTGGTGCATCCCGATTGCCTGGCTGGGGTCCTAAGGATGGTGAACACGTTTGGTTGGACACACCCGCTGATATGGCTTGGAGCCGGCCCCAATGGCGTTTGTGTTGTGAGTTCCTTTGTCCATCCCCCTCCTGCTTAGCATCCACCTCCAATCATGATCTCACCTGATAGGTATGATATGACCCTTTTACGGCAGCCAGCTGTTAGCTCTCCGGAATGATGTCCATCCGTTACTGGGGACTCAGCGGGCATGCCACCGTTTGTTTTTCTGTTCTTATTTTTTGTATTGCGGCACAATAGCTGAGGTGTTTTCCACCTCCAGCTAACGTGTAATGACGATGATGATGATGTGCCATTCTTCAAAGGAGGCTGGAGTCCAAAATCCGGCGATCAGTTTTCCATTGCCTCCAACTTACTTGCTTCTGTAATTCTTCACAGACCGACTGGCACTCGTAAAAGCCAGATACGTGAGAAGCAAATCGAGATTCTTCGAGTTCGGGGTGCATCGATCACATCTTCACTTTGCGTTAGTTGTTGGAGCACCTTCACTGTTGTCGTATTTCTCAACATCAAAGGTGCCTTCGATTCGGTGGATAGATGTGCTCTTTGGAACTGTCTGCTAAAGAGACGTGTGCCCGAGAACTATGTATTATGCGAGCGCTTTGCTCGCGTTGTTCAGACAGAGTGAGGGCTTACGGCAAGCTGTCGCCGCCCTTCAGTAGCTCCAGTGGTATAAGACAAGGATGCCCACTGTCACCTTTCACCTTTAACTTTGCTATTGACAAAGTCATAGAAATCGCGTTCGCAGGATACGACTTAAAGGGTGTAGGTCTGCTCCCAGGAGAACGACTTCTTGACTTGGAGTATGCTGACGATATTGCCCTCATCTGTGACAGCTCACGAAAGTTCCAAGCTGCACTGGACAGATTAGCACTGGCTGTCAGCCGTTTCGGGCTTTGCTTTGCACCCTCAAAGTGCAAAGCTTACCTCTAAGATTGGTAGGGACCGCCTCCTTCGTTGGCCATTGGTCTGGATCAGCTATAAGTCGTTCAAAGGTTTAAGTACCTGGGCAGTTGTATCAGCGCCGTTGGAATTAGAGACTAGGTCACAAACCCTATAGTAAAAGCATGAGGCGCTTTTGCTAACCTACACCACGTATTGCGCCGGCTGGACTTCACTGTCGCCTTAAAGCGTAGAGTGTACAACGCAGCGGTACGTTCAACGCTACTGTACGGTTGTGAAATCTGGATCATTAGATCAGCCGACATAAAGAGGCTAGTTGCATTCGACCACCGGTGCCTTTGCATTTTGGCTCATATCCGGTGAGAACACTGTGTGAACAAGGAGCGTGTTCGACCCCTTGTTTACTGCACAGGAAAAGGAAATGAACCATTCAACGCCGTTATTTCACGCACCAGGCTCCGATGGCTTGGCCACGTGTTGCACATGCCCGCTCACCGGCTCCCACGACATGCGTTGTTTGCGCGCCGGGGTGTAGATGGAAGAAGAGGAGAGCTGGCCAAGTGATGACTTGGTCAGGAGGGATGAAGGCCCTTAGTTCGAAGATTACTTTGCTTGGAGCCTTTCGGGTCCCTGGTTGGGGTCCGAAAGACGATGAACACATATGACTGCATACACTTGTTGACATGGCTAGGAGCCCTATCTCATTGGTCTTTGTATTGTGAGTTTCTTTGTCCCTCTCCTCCGGCTTAGTCTCCCCGTCCAACCACGATCTCATTTCCCAACGTATTACAAATTTTACATAATATGATTTTTTGCGTCATTATACCGGCTGGTCGCTTTCCGGAACGATCTCCATCGGTTACTGGTTGCTCAGCTAGAATGCTTCGGTTGCAGGTTTTATTTTTCTTCTCCCTTTCGCACAATAGCTTACATGTTTTCCACCTTTAGCTAGCGTTTATAATGATGATCATAATGACTTTATTCCACTTTTTTCAATTCTCGCATCCCTGGTAAAACACTGCGTTTCTGAGTCCACAATCTCATATTGCCTTGGGTGAGAGTTCTCACTGCACACATGCGAGTTTAGGTCCAAAGGTACGTTGCCCAATCTCATCGGCGAGTTTTTCCTAGCGCCCTGTACTTAATTCAAACTGGCTACCTTCATTATTCGAACATAGATGCAGGTCGAATCACATGCAGCCCTTTTTCGCACTCTAGAAACAGCTAGCATTAACATTTATTACCTCACTGAAAGCCATTTACGGGACTCTAGCACTACGCTACTGCTGGTTTCACCGTCTGTGTGTTTCGCTGGTATTTTCACACAGCGCCTGTCTGGAGACCCAACTACCGAATCCACTTACCATAACGGTGTTGAGATTGCGTTGTGCACGGGCTTAGACTGTGCTGTTCTACTGGTTTCCTAATAACAACCGGCTATATGCGAATCAACTAGAAACATCTATACGATCATCCGGCCGCGGAGCCAGCTGACGTTGTTTGTTCGTTGTAATGTTGTATGCCCACAAACTACAGCTCTGACTCAGTTGTGGATGAGTTCTGCCGCCTATCTTAAATGGCGTCGCACAGACATCGTGGTGCTTGCTAGAGACCTAAACACGCGGGCCGGCAGACTGGAGGTTGACGAACGTGAACTCGGTGGCCAACATGGCTATGATATTCGCAGGCAGACAGCGATGATTGTCTATTTCAGGTGTACGCCAACGAAGGCCTATTACTCTCAAATGGTGCAAAGTCACTCCATGACTAGTCATAGTTTCTCTTTTTCACCACTGTATTCACGCTAGTTCTTTCCTAATCTCCACGTCCTCGAGCTTGACAGGTGTTATATGTGCACAACATTCGTACTTGCGCAAATTGCCTCCAACTTGATCTTATATGTTAATCAATCAAGAAATTCTGATATTATATGCCCACTTTCGCATCTGCTCATTACGTATTTTCACATCGATCATTTTATCCGACGCATACTAGTTTTGCGAGCATCCGCATTTGATTTTTTGATCGTGAACGCACCCAGGTACCTCAAAGCTTCCTTACTTTTAAAGAACGCGTTCCACACATGTCTTTCTCCACGATGGTCGGTACAGTGCTCAAGTGATTTTTAACTGCGATGATTCACACTTTGTTCTTCACGGACAGCATCTATGCTAAGGTAGAAACAGTTGGCCACGGAAAGGTTGAACTGCAGCTCTTAAATAGACTTGCCTAGGGTGGATCTTAGACCTTTTTATGGCATAAATTTGTCCACGGTAATGATTAATGTTGAAAATACTTGGACTTTCTTGGGGTTGCACGTTTCTGTAACTTTAAAGTACCTTACTACTGGCCAGTTTTAATAAGACCGTTAAACGCCAATGTTGTTGTTTTTTATTGTGTATCTTTACACAACTTGCAGCCTTTCACTTAATCAATGGCACTTGATTTGTCGACCGTGAGCGAACCACTTTTCTACATCGGAGAATCGGACGTCCCTCCCGAATATGTGTTGCTACCTGCAGACTGTATCAGCACATCGGGCAGTGGCGATGTACTTTTCAGAATATCAGCTCTCGGTAAGTTTTTCACTTTTAGTTTTCCGAAAGGTTCCCGTCACCTATAGGTATCCAGCTACCCTCCCCATGAAAGATGTGGCTTTTTTACTTGGTTTAGTTCTAGTCACATTTGCTTTGGTAAAGATTCTGTAATTGTATGCGTCGCCATTCATGTTTGATACCCATCTCGCGACTAATGTTGTCGTTAGTTACATTTGAGAATTTCGAAACTGAGCTAAGCAACAATTGTTGGCCTAGGTGCCGAAACTCACAATTCCCCTAACTTATCGACATTTCTAGTACTCGAACTGGTGGCCGTTCACTTTAGGGCTCACCGCTGCCCTAATTGCAGTCGTGTGTCGTAATTCAAACATTAGGGGTAATCCAAAACTCAGCATGATGTCTATCCTACTACATTCGTTTTTGGTCGATCACTGCCTCTGCTCTCAGGTGGTCGTGTTCGTAATAATACTGATAATACCCAAATTTCTTACGATCTGAAGAACAGTCTGTTGCGGACCAGGTCATGATGGACAAGAGTAACTATGATCTTGCATGAGTGAGGGGAATCTGTGCAATATTGAGACTTTGGATTCATAAACTAACAATTTAGTGGCTGGTTGAAAAGGAAGCGGAAGTTTGGTAACGTGCTTGTTCAGACGTTGTTGGTCCCCTCCCGGGTCGTTCATCTAGTGATTTTTCTGTGAGTAAAGTCGTTGTGGTATTCAGGCCAAGGTGATTTGCGAGTTTGTTACTAAATCTTGCCATCCTTTCACATGATATGTGTGTGATCGGCAGTTTATCCCACAGATAGCTATACCTGACCAGGAGGAACTTTGAGCGAATGTTGGTTCTAACCTTTGGTAAATTCAGTGTACAATCCAACCTGCTTTGGCGACCAGTTAAAAGCATCGCCAACGTCTGAACCTATCCATGGCGACCACTTTTTGTCGGTCCTTTGTGTGGTCGCCTTAAACAGGTTTGACTATGTAATCTTAGTTGCGAAGCTCTCCTACTGGGCTGTGTTGCAGTTCGAATGTAGGCAGATCGGGATAGGTCCTTTGTGTAGCAGGTTTTAAAACGGCAGCTTCAATCGTTGCATCCAAAGTGGTTTGAATTGAAGTTTCTTGCAGTGCTCTCGATAATTCATGGCTGGCTGCTTGCCAACCAGCAGTTGTTCCAGAGCAATCCTGCCGCCCTTTCTCATGTAGCTCTATGTCGTGCTACAGTACTCATAGGGCGGATGAGTATCTTTAAAAGCATGGATTGTGTGGGTTTTACTGGATATATTAACCACAAATTGTATGACACACTATTAGGTGTTGGACCTTTTCGGAGACGACGAAGGTCAATGAATATCTAATTCTGAGATTGCGAGGGGCCAACTGTATAGACTTGTTCATTCTTGAGTATCGTACATGCTTGATTTTTTATGCCGAGATTCATCCACGAGTTGCATCATGCCTCAATGGAATAAAAGTCACCTTGAATGAGAAAAGACGTTCTGTGTAATTTGTCACGTCGAATCTTGTAGACAAAGGTGATATCGTTGGAGATTAGAAATGGACAGTCATGCTTTACGGACATGATGATGTGATTGATGTAGAGCATGAACAGCGAGGAACCGAACATATTCCATTGGGTGATCCCGCTAGTGATGGGGTGTGGAGAAAAGCGATAGTCACTTAAAGTGACTACCTGGTAGCGATCACTCTTGTATGACGATAATCAACCGAATAGTGGGTCATGAATCCCAAAAGTCTCCAACATTTGTAGCAACCACTTGTGAGGTAGCCGGTCGAAGGCTTGGTGTGTGCCCAAAAACAGAATTACTACTGCATACCGGAAACAGACAGATTCCGAAGCGTAGTTCACACAATGCATTTGGCAGGTGGGACACGAACTTTTGTCAAGAAAACCATGGTGACCGAAGAATTGACAAAGTTCGTCACTAACTTTTTGACCAGTTTTTCAATTAACCGGGTAGTTTTTGTATTGTGGCGGATTGGCCGCTTGTTTTTGGGCCAACGCATGATAAACGACGTTTTTCATTTATCTAGAAAATGTCTAGATTCCAGTGTTAGGGTGAACGTGTTAACCAGCAGTTGTGGTGTGTCAAGCTCTCTAATTTAATAGCTGATGAAGTGTTACTAGCCACCCTGCTTGGCAGATGGTCCGACTGATTGGCTCGTCATTTCGTAGCATTCGTGCGAATGGATTGTTGCGCGCAATCATTGTGGACTGTGATACGGATTGAAGCGAACCTTGATCCATTCGATCACTAGGACCTTAGCTGATGAAACAGGTAGCACTTGGGTCTTTCCCGCCCGAAAACACTGCATTCTACGACGCGTTTCGACCTTACTGAATCTCATCATGTAGCGATAGCATTCCTCGAACTTGGGACCCTTAGAATATTAGTTTGAACCTCTACGCCTTTAACCACCGGGTGACGATGCGCAGCGCTTGGCACAACGTCTAATGATTTGCGGGGTCTTTTGAAGTACTCGTTGTGTGATTAGACTGCGATACACACTCCCGAACGTGGAACACACAATTTCTATCTGCTTCATCAGCTACGGTCCAAGTGATCGAATTGACCAAGGTTCGCGGTCTTCAATGATGTTGGTGCCGCAATCCATTCACACGACCAGTACTTCAAAATTATCCTCCGATCATTCATTAGCCACTGTGTTTAGCGTTATCCATCGTAACAATGTGGCTAAAGATGTCAACTAACATCCCAGTTGTCCCCAGATTTGAGGCCTCCTATCTCTACCTGATGAGATCCAATAATTTCGAAACTTTCGTGCAGTGTTTTCTAACGGGCAACACTCAATCTCTGTATGGTCCGATTGTCTTAATCAGTTGATGGATACTGTTTTAATGAAGTATCAAGTCTGCTTAAGACGTTTGTTTCTGCAAACTATGCATACAGGTATATGATTGCCTTTGAGGTTTATGGAGGTGGCGAAGTAGTAACTGAAGTGGCTTTCATCATCGACGATTTCAGGAACGCAGACCTTGGTTCAACCATATTATTTTAACAAATTCCCTCGTCTTGCATCTTGTTCGTAGGGCTTTCTGTTCATTTTTTACCGCGTTAACTACGCACGTTTGACTCTGGCGATAAATTCGTGCATGTTACTGTTACTGAAAAACATCAGTCTTCTGAATGTTCCGTGCTAGCTGAGCGTTCGGTGGGATCTTGGGAGAGATGAGCAATACGTTCACATTGTGAAGACATATATATATATATATATATATATATATATATATATATATATATATATATATATATATATATATATATATATATATATATATATATATATGAAAGTCAAATACACTATCTGTGGTACAAATATTGTGCCATCGGAATCATGGCTGCATAGGAAAATAGTATGAATAATAAGAAAAGAACAACAACAACAGAAGCTTTTTTGTCCAGTTAACCACTCACAGTGAAAATTTTCCAGTTTGTCTTTTTTGGGGGGCGAAGGAAGGGACACCGCAACACACCGCCATTGACATCGATCT